TCTCCTCTCTTTGTTTTACTTCCTACCCCCAACACACCTGTGTTACAACAACAGAGACACACAAGAATAGTAACTTAAATTTACGTTATATCTTATGCCATGTTTATATCCCAAACACTTTCTCTACTGTTTTTATTCATCTCACTTTGTTGTTGTTTTTGTTGATAGAGATATTTTACCAAATGTTGGACATTGTCTAAAATACACTTTAATGTATGATCTCAACGTTCAGTGCAGAACTGCTACGTAATATAATAGTTCTGACATTTTGTTAAGCAAATGCATTTTTATCATTGTGGTGTTTATTTCCCCTCCCCTCCTTTGATGTGGGTTTGGTATATTTATAATATCCTCATGTTGGTATATATCATGAAGCGCATGTGACAGTTTTGATCAATAACCAAATCTTTAACAAATACAATTATAAAGTCGATCATAACTGCATACATTTCCATAATGTAATACTGAACAATATGTCCACAGTAATGTTAGGGTGAATATAAATATAAACATATTTCAATATCATTTATGCCACTGTATTTCAGCTTTAGCATCGCCCGGTGCTGGCATGCTTGGATTCCCCACCCCAGCCACCCCCTCTCCTGCCATGTCTCTCAGCACTACCCCAACCAAGACTCTTCTGCAGACTTCTCCACCTCCTCCTCCTCCTCCACCTCTTCCTCCTGTTTCCTCCACCCCTCTGACTTCAACCAACCACATTGAGCAGCACAGCAACTACCCAGAGAGAGACAGCAACAACAACAACAGCAGCAGCAGCAGCAAGAAACCAGCGGAGAAGCCGCACCATCAGAAGAAGGCCAAGGAAAGAGAAGTGGAGAACGGCGGTCGTCCACAGACCCCCAACGTCAGCAACAACAAAAAGAAAGAGAAGCCGTCTCCAGCCTCGGGCAAACCAGGACGCGAGGGTCATCTGGATGCAGCTCAACTACAGGCTCTTCAGAACGCACTGGCCGGCGCTGCAGACCCAAGCTCCTTCCTGGGAGGTCAGTTCCTGCCTTACTTCCTCCCGGGCTTCGCCAACAGCTTTTCGCCCCAGCTTCTTGGAGGGATGCAGGCGGGGGGATACTTCCCTCCATTCGGTGGGATGGAGAACATGTTCCCCTATGGTCCTGCTGCCATCCCGCAGGCCGCCATGGCGGGGATGAATCCCACCGCACTCTTGCAGCAGTATCAGCAGTACCAGCAGTCCCTCCAGGATTCCCTGCAAAAGCAGCAACAACAGCAGCAGCAGCAGCAGCAAAAGCAGCTTGAGCAAAAACAACACCATCATAAACAGCCGAAGCAGAAGCCAGCCCCTGTGAAGGCATCGTCACCAAGTGTGCAGAGCAACCCCAAGTCTTTCAAACCAAAACAATCTATGGGAACTAAAGATGACACCAACAACAACAAATGCTCTTTGACGGAAAGCACAAAAGAACCGCCAACAGAAACCAAAAGAACCACAGACTTTCCTGACGCTTTCATCATTCCGTCTGTCAAGCACCAGTTCATATGCAGGAAGTGCCAGATGGTATTCGCTGACGAGGACTCCGCAGTGCATCACCAGAAGTCCTTCTGCTACTTCGGAAACCCTTTTCCAGACCCGCAGGAGACAGTTCTTAGAAAGGCAGTGAGTAAGTACAGGTGCATCGCCTGCAATGTGATGGTCAACGGGAATGAAGCGCTTGACCAACACCTCCAGTTGAGCTTGCACAAAGAGAAAACAATCAAACAAGCAATGAGAAATGCCAAAGAGCATGCTAGATTATTACCTCACTCTGTCTGCTCCCCTACTCCTGACAACACCACATCTACCTCGCAGTCTGCAGCTCCTCCTTCTAATAACACCTTTCCTCATCTCTCTCGCTTGGCCATCAAGTCCTGGCCAAATATCCTTTTCCAGGCCACCGCCCGGAAAGCTGCTTCTTCCTCCTCCTCCCCGTCTGCTTCTCCTCTTCCTCTTCCTCCCCTTTCCTTGCCTCTAAACGGTTACCTCAACGTCCTGCAGCAGCGTCTCCAGGGGTTCCCCCACCTCCCTACCCAACGAGAGTGGTTCAGATGAGTCTGACAACGAGCTGAGCCAGAAGCTGGATGAATTAGATAAGGTGTTGGAGGCCAAGGCTAAGTCGACCTCCGGCCTAGGCGCAGGCTTCAGCAGTATCAGAATGGATATGTTCAGTGTGTAGGAGGTGAAAAATAGGATCCCTTGCTTTTAAAAAAAAGAAAAGTGTAAGACTTTTAAACTGCAGTTCCAAAGTTTCTCTAACCCAAAAAATTACAGTACCAAATGATTGACTCAGGATTGTTTTTCCCATATTGATATGCTGGCAAGATATTGATAGATTTTTGTTATGGACAGAACTGTTGCAGATGCTTGACTGAGCTTATATTGTATACAAAAACACGGAGTAGGAAAGATCTCCCAGGCTCCCCCCGTGGAGCTTGTTTCAAGCCAAAAACTCACGATAGCAAATTGCACCTCAGCTGGATTGTTTTCCAAATGCTAGCATGTACTGTATGGGACGACGATCCAGAAAACCCTCAAAGAGAACCTCTGTTAGTCTAGATAGCTGGTGTAATTCAGTAGCTTTAAATTCTCAGGTCAGAACATAACATTTCTCATTTGTTAAAGCAGCAACGAGCCTGGGTACACTTGGCTTTTAACCAAAACATGTCAAGCTTTATCGGACGCATTTCCTTGATGTGTGTAGAGTACCAAGAGAGACAATATTACTGTTACAATGGACAGCGTGCATATCCTTTTAGTTTTCGCCCTAGAAAGACAGTATGGTTTTGCCACTGAGGGAATTTTAGAATGGTGAAGTACATGTGTATGATGCCCCTGTGTTTGCCAGTTTGTATGACAACAAACTGTGTCTATATCCAACCCCCTTTTTTCTCTTGTAGAATATACTAATCTGTGCCAACTCTTACCTTCTCTCTTTTACATCTGCTCACATCCTTTTCTGAAGAGGTAATAACTCTAGTTTTATACACTCTTGAGGATTAATTATGTGAATAAGAATTTTTTTCATTTGTGAATTGCTGTACGGTACCTTGCTTGTGTCTGGACTATAGTGCACTTATTTTGTTTTTTGTCAATTTTTTTATTATTATTAATTTGGTAGACCCATGTGTTAATTTAATAGATGTATTTGTGTTTGTATGTTTGTTCGTTTTGTTTTAATTATTATTTTGCATTTATTGCAGCAGCATTTTGGTTTGTTAGAGGATTGACACCTAACAGCCCAGTGACCTATTTAACAATTGGTGCATCCATGAAAGTAGTACTGTATACTTGAAACTGTTAAAGTACAAGTCGGACAGAATGTTTTTATTTTTATTTTTAATTTTTAGAAAAGGTATGAATATTTGCATAAGCAAATATGCTGCTTTACAAAGGGGGACTACAGCATGTATTTTATATAATGACATGTTTTCCCTGTGCTTGTAGGACTGATAACAGTGTTACACCTATACACTGCCATTTACTGCATAGGCATTCATCCTCACGTTCATTTTCTGGGCACTTCAGTTGATATATCATGAAAAGTCATCACTAATTATTTTAGTCATTTACGCATTACAAAGTATTACCATATAACATTTTGCTGCTACTGTGTAATGTTTTTATTTTTTTATTTTTTACGCGCCATAAATTCTCCACCAGGCTGAATACTGACCCATGGATCACTTTGCTTTGCTGTTTCTTTTTTATTTTTCATTTTTGTATGTGTCTTCTTTTATTTTGCAGTGGAACTTAAAGATTGTGAAAGCTGTTATTAAAGGGTGTTACATTTTAATGAATCACTTTTTAGTTTGGTAAGGTAAGCCAACGTGATTCATTCCAAAGTAACAGGAGGCTATTTGTATGAAAGAAAAAGGCTTGTGAACAAAGAGAGCTAAGCTGTTGTACATATTCGTAGTTGGCTGTGCATGGTACAAATGTATTAATATGAAGAAATGCAAAAATGTATTGCTTTTGGTATTTCCTATTCTGAGATGAGCAAGTAGCATGTAATGCAACTGTTTGACAGGTTAAAATCAAATCATGTTAGTTATTGTTTCAAACGATTAAATCAAGTAACATTTCCTCTTACGTTTTATTATTGTACAGGTGTTTTAGTTTTTTCATTCAAAGTTGAAGCGCAAAATGTCACCGTTTTTAATTATCTTTTTTGTGTGAAACGTAAATGTTTCTTATTTGGATTTTCAGTATTTTAACATTTACTTTGATCCTGAAGACACTTTCACGATTGTGTTTCATAAGAGACGTCCTGGCCTCCCTATAGGTGCAATCCTGCCATTGTACAAACACCAACGACTGTCCTGATCCCAAAGGCTTTCCCAACCTGGCTTCTTGCCTTTCCCCTCAATGTGGCTAAAGTGTTGCCAGACTGAACTGTCAGCTAGCATCACGTGCTAAGATGTTAGCAGCAAACACAATGCTTTCCACACTAAAGGACTGGTAAAAGCTAACAAACCAACAACCAAAAGGATGGTCCTATAACGTAACGAACTGTACATAAACGTTGCAAACTGCACAGCAGCCAAAAGGAAAGAAAGAATAAAACAAACGTCTTCTTTTTTAACAGATGGATTGTGTCACGCTAAAGAGAGAACAGCCTTCAAAAGGTTGATATTGGGATTGTTTTCTTCTGGATGTCAAAAGGGATTTTCACGCCGCAATCATATCCTACACAATATGTACTCTATGTCCTGGTTACATAGGAAATGCATCCTGAGGGTTTACTAAGAAGAAGCCCCTATGGCTAAAACTTTAAATAAACTAAACCAAAAATGTTATTGATGTTTTATATATAGAGAGTAGTCTCATTAGTTTTTGTTACTGTAATGTTTGAGGTCTCAACTCTACCGTCACACGGTAATAACATGGTTTTGAAACATTTATTTTTTATTTTTTTGTCACAGACCTGTTGTCATAGTTGAAATGACGTTTATTGTAGATGGTATTTGAACAACTTCTGGAAATAGTTCAT